TTTTCCGTCCCATTTTGTACTCATTTGTACATCATTCTAGACAGAAATAAATGACCTTTTTAGAAAGTAAACCATTGATGGGGAAATGTTGGCAGTTTTCTCAAAAAGGGCTCCCCATTAGGGTATGATTTCACGGTCTTTTACAATTAGATTGATTTCCCCCAAAAATTTCGTTTGTTAAAAGTTGAATTTTGCACTCTGGGCGTCTTTAGGACGTTCATGGGACCTATTTTCACTTCATGCCAAGGATTCAAGGAAAGTCAAAAACCGTTTTTCCAATTACCCATAGACAAATTTTGCGACGTCTGTTTAACGTTGAATTTTAGGTTTGAAGACGTGCAAAGTACGTCCTTTGAAAGCCCGAGTGTCCACTGCTCAAAAACATTTTTATTAACGATTTTGGAATCGTTTGGAAAGAGCAAAATTGCGTCCAAAAGTTTCCAAAACGCCCCAGTAAAGAACCTCATTTGCCTTTAAAGGTTCAAAGAACGTCCGAAGAATGTAATTCTAACGCCTTAAAAACAAAGTCTATGGAATCAACACCAGACAAGGTTTAAAGCATCTGGCAGTTACAGGTTGGCAATAATTCACCAAATGTGCATTGAGTTCCAACGGCGTTCTTTAAACGTTTGGTTTAGGATCTTAAATGCCCCAAACATTATTTTTTTAATGAGCTTATTAACGGTCAAAAACCAATAAATCGATTAATATGAGAAACACTTTGCAGTGTAAATTAAAGGTGTAACGGTTCCTTTAATGTAGGGGTATTTCGGAAAGACCTAATGCTTGCGTAGATCCTTCAATCAAGTCTTTATTAACTAACAAAATGGGGATTTTAGAGTAAATCTGACAGGAAATGCTTCAATAACTCTTCAAAAGTTCCCAGAAAGTCACAGCCAGTGCACAGTTTGGCTTTATAGAACGTCCAGATAATGTAATTCTGACGTCTCATGGCCTTACGGCCAAGACAATCCAATTAAATCGGTTGAAATTAACAACAGACAAGGTTTCAAGCATCGATATTCGAGTCGAGTTTTAACGACGTTCTTTTAACGTACATTTTGAATCTTAAACGTCCCAAAACGTTATTCTCAATCAGCTCGTTAACAACCAACGACCCAATAAGTCCATTAATGTGAGAAACCCGTCGATTAGAATTGAAGCTTTCGGGCTGGGGACGTACTGCGAACGTTCTTTGAATGCAGGAGTGCTTCTAATGGCCGGTAGAAGTAATCCTTGCCATGCGTGAAACTTTCAGGAAATTTTTACGTGCCATGACCTCAGAAGGCCTAAGACAATCTATCAGGTCAAGTTGAAAGTGTTTGCCTTCGGTTTCAATTAGGAGCTTTCAATCTTTTGGACGTCCAATGGATGTAATCGCACTAACCTCAAATTTTTGGGGTTGCAGGCAGGCGGTAAAGCTGCGCCTTATTATATGGGTTCCACCACCAGTCTGCCTAGAGGAGCGACTTTCCTCCGGACCTATTCGCCTGCAGTTTCCAACCTCCCTGCTGAGAGGCTAAAGCCGCTGCCCACAGGTGAGTTGGACCAGTTTTACTGCCATTTCTCCCCCGTTAGTGTTGTTTTTTGCGTGTTGAATCGCCCGAAGAAGTGGAGGCTCTTTGCAATTGACCATAGAAGATGAATTTTAAAGAGCCTCCATTCTCTGGGGCTCTAAACCCGCATCTGGCATGAATCGAACAATTGTTCAGTCATTCCCCCTTTGAACTGTCGAGGCACAAAGGCTAGATTGTGTGGTTGTTCAACGGCACAGTTTCCAGTAAGTTTCCACTGTGTCCTTGTAAATTAACCCCTTTTTGTGCATGGGAAGGAGCCCCCCCGAAACCGCAACGTGCTTATAGTGGTGGGAGTCGGCCCACCAATGACACGCCACCACGGCCGCCGGACCGATTTGCCCCCTTCCAAAGGCCTGTCAACCCCCTCTATGTACCAGGTGTGTCTAGACCACCGAAAAATCTCCCTCTTTTAGTCCAGAATTGGGGTTTTTTCCCAAAATGTCCTGGTTTGTTGGCTAGATATTGTCCATTGTTTGGCTTCTTGTCCCAGTAGCTAGATGGTTGTAGAACCCTCTGAAGCATCCAGGAAATCTAGATAAATTTGTGGTGTTTCTGGTTTAGATGGTTACATGTCGTCGCCGGAAAGGGGCTCCAGATACGAGGATCCCTACTACAGCCAGTATGGGACAAGGTCCGGATCGATCACTCCCGTGATAGATGAAGAAGTGAGGTGAGTGTTTTGGTATCAGGGACTAATCAAGGGAGAAAATTTGCATGTGGTGTTGCAGCGACACTGAGCTCCTAGATGATTCCTACTCTCTATATGGAGTGAAGGTGCCGGGAGGCGCAGCCCCCCGAACAAGCCCTCGGCCCGGATTTCCAGCCCCAGCCGCTGTTCCCTACGATGCCACCAGGTAAAGGCCGATATTCCAGGCAAACTAGGCTAAAAGGCTAAAGTTTCCCTTGCAGGCTGCGAGTGGAGAACATGGAGCGCCAGCTGGCCAACCTCACTGGCCTGGTGCAAAAGGCGCTCACCCAACCAAACACTCTGCAGATACCAGGCCGAGATGGCTATCGAGGTGAGCGACACTTTTATCCGCGCACTAGTGTTTGGTGTGCCTTGTGACTGCTCAATTGTGCACTAGAGCGTTCTAGAGCCGCGATTTGATTGGTAGTTGAATCATCTGAATCAGACGAAAAATCTAATTTTAAGCCAAATAAAGACCCCGATGTTTCACAATCATCATCAGACCATCGATTATTTAACGCCAGCTTGTAAATAGTGTTGTTGTTTGTCGCTAACGATCATCATTCATTTCTACCCAACAGGAGACGAGTTCGATAAGAACTCCAGCTCGAGCTCGGCATCGTTGACAGGTTTGTATTCACACTTTTGCCCATTTTATTTCTGTTTGTTTCGTTTCCATCATCTCATCCAGTGTTTTCTCGTTGATTGGCCGATGATAGTTTTCAAACCCACGGGTTTTCCCATTTTGGAAGGTGTGGGAGTGAAAACTGCCGGTCGCTCATTTGATCAAACAGCATGCTCGAAACAGATCTAAGTGCAACTGTTAATTCCAAAGTGTCCTGATGAGTGTCTGTTTGATGAATACGGTGGAAAATGGTTCTTTTTGGGCAGAAACGTTGCTGATCGGGAACAGCCGGTTATTGGCTTTATTGCGACGTTTGAGAGCAGACGTAAATTTGGTTCAAAATTCGATGTTTTGGAG